TCCCTCTGATTCTGTCTCTCTTTTCTGTGTCTCCTCATCTGTGTCTCTTTCTCTTACTCCCCCATCTCTGCCTCTCTCTGGCTCTGAGTCTCTGACTTTTCTCCCTCTCTTTCCATCTGTTTGGCTTCATTGCTGCCCGTCTCTCTCCACCTGTTTCCCTTCCCTCTCTTTCTGTCTCCACCTCTGTCCATCTGTCTCTCTTTTTCTCTCTGTGTATTTGTCACTGTCTGTCTGTCCCTCTCTTTCCCCTCTTTCGAAGTCTGCCTCTCTCAGACCCTGAAACCTGCTGCCTGCTCTTTTACCACATCCGCTTTCTTGTTCCTCAAGTGACCAATTTTCTTTCCTGCCCTTAGAAAGTAGCTCAGGCCTTAACCCATTTCCTCCGGCGTATCCAAATTAATTAGGTGAGCCTGGGATCACACATTTCAGAATTAGAATAATATTTATCAAGCACCCTGGAGAGAAGGAGATGGAAGTTGGAGAGGAACGGGAGCAAGGAGGGAGGTCACCGAGCTGAGTGTGATTCGGGGGAAAGGGGACCTGGCGGAGGGGACAGCTCCTAAGGACACACCGTCTGCGAATTAGGCCCACCTTTCTCATTGCCAGAAGGCACTGGGAAAGGATAGATCTTGGAGAATGGTGTTCAGGAGTCAGAGAAGTCCACAGGGTGGCTGATGAGGAGCGTGTCCCTGATTTCCACCTCCTCCCTGGGACCACACAGGGCTGGGTCCCCGCCCCCAGATGGGCTCTCTTCAGGAACACCTTCTCTAGCTTGTCCTTCCCGTTTGGCTGCACTGCCCAGCTCAGCCCAGCCAACTGGGCAGTGGAATTCAATGCAAGTCATTATCTTCTTTCCTCACATGACCTAGAGACAGGAGGAGACAACTTAGCTATAACCCAGGCTTAAAACTCGTTCTCCAGCAGCAAGCCAGACCCAAGCACACTTGGTGTCCACTGAGCCTGATGGTCTTCAGGAAGGCGTCTTCCTTGTCATCTCTTAGTCCTCCGAGCCTGCGTCCTTCAAGGCCTCTCAGGAGATGGGCACAAGTGTCTCCCCATTCTGGGAGGGTTGAACTCTTTGAAAATCTCTTCTCTGCTGGCTCCTCCTTGACCAGTGAGCCCTGGAGAGAATCTACTCTGAAATTGCCATTTACACTATTGATGTGGACAAAAGTGATGCCGGGCTGAAAGCCCTGTAAAGTCTGGGGCAGGGACGATCTTCATTCCTTTCTCTGTTATGTAATAGCTGGGCAATATGGCAAGACCTGGGGATCTGAGGATACAGCGATGGCCCAAATGGACAAGGCCCGCTCCTTCAGGACATTCATTTCAATGTCTCCAGCCTCAGTGTGTCCCAGAACTCAGCCTAATGTCTGATCTTCATACAGCTGCTCAGTAGATATCTGTGGAACTAGACTGCATTGAGCATAAATCAAAGACCCACTTCATCTAGGGCCGTGTAGATCAGGGTTTCTCAACATCACCATTGTTAACATTTGGGGCCAGGTAATTCTTGGTTGTGGGGGGGATGTCCTGTGCAGGGTAGGATGGTTTAGCAGTATCTCTGGACTCTACCCACCAGATGCCAGTAGCTCTTCCCTCCCTGGCTGTGACTGCCAAAAATGTCTCCATATTGCCAGATGTGCCTGGGGAGACAAAATCATCGTGGTTGCGAACCACTGACGTAGATTCATATTGGCTTACTGAGGGCGGTGGATTTAACCACATGACTCCATTCTCCTTCTTAGGCACCAGAGAGGTAGGCGTCTTTATAAGAACTTGGGAGGCAAGAAAAAGAAAAAGAATATAAACTTTTTTTGTAATATCAGCTTTATTGAGATGTAATTCACCGACCATAAAATTCATCCTTAACTTTTCAAGTGTACAATTCAGTGATTTTTATACATTCTCAGAGTTGTCCAACTATCACCACTATCTAACTTTAGAACAGTTTCGTCTCCTCAAAAAGAAACCCTGTGCCGATTAGCAGTCACTCTCTGTGTGCCCCTCATCCAGCCCCTGCTAACCACAAATCTGCTTCCTGTCTCTATGGAGCTTCCTAATCTGGACATTTTATATGAATAGAATCATGCAGCATGTCATCTTCTGTGACTGGCTTCTTTGACTTAGCATGCTGTTTTCAGAGTTCATTCAAATTATGGCATGTGTCAGTACAACATTGCTTTTTGAGGCTGAATAATAACCCATTGTGTGAATACAGCACGTTTTGTTTATCTGTTCATCAATTGATGGACATTTGGGTGTTTCCACCTTTTGGCTATTCTTAATAGTGCTGCTATGAACCACCGTATACAAGTTTTGTATAGACATATGTTTTCATTTCTGTTGGTAGTATACCTAGGAGTAGAATTGCTGGGCCATATGGTAACTCTGTGGTTAACATTTTGAGGGACTGCTAAATTGTTCCCAAAAAGGGTCTGCACCCTTTTACATGTCCCACCAGCAGCGTATGAAGGCTCCAGTTTCTCCACATCCTTGCCAACATTTGGTATTATCTGGCTTTTTAGTTACGGCTGTTTTAGTGGGTATGAAGGGGTATCGCCTCATGATTTTGATTTGTAGTTTTCTGATGACTGATGATGTTGAGCAGCTTTTCATATATATTTCATATATTTCCTTCTTTGGAGAAATTTCTATTTATATTCTTTGTCCATTTTTAAATTGGATTATTTTTTCTTGTTTAACTGTAAGAGTTTTTTATATATTCTGGATACAATTCTCTTATCAGAAATATGATTTGCAGATATTTTCCCCCATCCTGTGCGTTGTCTTTCCTTTTTCATGGTATCATCTGATACAGAAAAGTTTTTAGTTTTGATGAAATCTAACTCATCTACTTTTTTCTTTTGTTGCTTGTGCTTTTGGTGTCGTATTTAAAAAGCCATTGCCAAATCTGAGGTCACAAGGATGTACTTCTATATTTTCATCTATGAGTTTATAGTTTTAGCTCTAATATTTAGGTCTGAGATCCATTTTGGGTTAATTTTTATATAAGGTGTGAGGTAAGAGTCCAACTTCATTCTTTTGCACATGGATATCTGGTTGTCCCAGCACCATTTGATGAAGAAACTCTTCTTTTCCCAGTGAATGATCTTGGTACCCTTTTCGAAAATCAGTTCATCATAGATGTGTGGGTTTATTTCTGGACTCTCAATTCTATTCCATTGCTCTATATTTCTGTTAGAACTTTTAACTCACTATTTTCTTCCCATGGAAAGCTGGTAGGAAAGTGCCTTTGATAACCAGAGGGGTGAAGGGATCAAGGTAACTTGCATGGATGTGTGGTTAAACAAATATAAAATATTTATCAAATTTTGGAATTAGGAGAGATCTTAGAGGTCATGTTAGTTTATACTTTTTATTTTGCTGATGGGGAAAAAAGAAGATTAAATTTCAATTTGAGAGGTTAACAAATCTGCCCAAAGGTTCACAGTGAATTGGTTGCAGAGCTGGAATTAGAACCCAAATATCGTGACTTTCTAGGGGAATGCTTTTTTCTTTTTCCCAGGCCCTGAACCTGTGGCCTCTGACCCAGACGCCAGGTCTGCCTGAACTTCCTTTACCAAGCTGTGAGCCTCTGTGCTCTCCCGTACTGCTTGGTCCACGACAGTGAATGGGCGTGGTGGCGTGTGTCTGCTCCTTCCTTTACAGTGCGAGAGGAAAGAAAACCAGTGAGGGGAAAGCATTTGGAAAATCTGAAATTGCTGTATAAATGCCAGTAAATGATAAGATTGCCAGCTTGATGCTCTTCTCCTAGGAGGTTCGGCATGTCAGAGGTGGCATAATGGAAGGAAACAATTCACAAGACACATTTTTAAACTGCTGTGATTGTCACTTTCCAAGGGGGCAGAGTGCAGGAGCTAGAATCCCAGTGCAAGTGAAGCCTGGGGTGGGCTGGGCTGGCTGGGAGAGGGCTGGAGGTGAAGTGCCTTGCCCACCCCTCAGGAGCACCCTGAGTAGATGGAAGAGTCCTTGCCTGACTCATGCAAAATAGAGGTGCACTCAGGACTGGGCACCTGGCCCTAAAATGACAATATCCAGATGGTGGTCTCTAGTGGCTTGTCCACACTCATCTTTGCCTCCTCACAGCATCCTTGCATGTTTTCCACCGAGAGAGGGCGTCCTGTTTGAAACCAGGTAGGGGAGCGATCCCCTACATTATGAGCCCCTCAATGGCAGGAATTATGTCCTGTTTACCTGTGTCTCTGCAGTGACTGATGCACGTGAGTCCTCAATAAATGCACGTGTGATTGTCGAAGCCAGGTGTTGAGTGAATGAGAGCTGCCCTCTTGGGGTAACTGGGTCTCTTGCAGAGGGGTGGGGCTCTCCAGCTACAGCAACGTCTCTGTGCATCTCTGTTTCTTCCTGTCTGTGTTCCTCTCTGTGTTTGTCATTGCTCCCTCCTCTAAGCTCCAGTTGTGTTCACTGTCTGCATCATCCATGTGTTCTGATATTCCTCTTTTTCTCTGTACATCCTGTCTGTGCAGCTAAATCACACCTTTCTTTGATGGCGGGAGTTGTGTCTTGTACTTATTTGGGTCACCAGTGTGTGGTTTTCGATGGGGAAGTTGATGCCCCTAATATTAGTAACCTGCTGCTGAATTTGAGGCCAGTGGTGTCAGCCCTCCCCTGCAGTGGCATTCCACTGGGCAGATGCTGTAGATGTCTGCCTGGCATGGGGGGTATTTGGGGAGCCGGTATTTTGAAAGGGCTCAGAGTCTGTTGAAGTGAAATGAATTAAAGAAAGAAACCATAACCCCTGCCTTTCAGTTCCTGTACCCCCAGGCATGGCAACCTCCACCCTGCCCTCCCACTGAGACCTGCACCAGATGAAGCTGTGACTGTTGAGAACCAAGTGCTGTCTCTCCATCTCCTCCCAAGGCGCCGCGCCTCAGAGGGCCTCCGAAAGTAAGCCCACTCTGCTTGTGGTATGCACACCTGCTCGGTGAATCTCACTGTGTGATCTCCTTCTTGTTTAGGGCTCTGGCTGACATCTTAAGACAACAGGGACCAATCCCCATAGCACACTGTGAAAGAGAAACTATCTCGGCTATCGATACCTCTCCCAAAGAGAACACACCGGTCAGATCGTCCTCCAAAAACCACTACACCCCCGTGCGCACGGCCAAGCAGACTCCAGGTAAGTGAGAGCTGATCGCCTTGAGTCTTTGCTGAGACTGCTGAGAAATTTCGGTGATGTTTCTGCTCCAGCAGGGCAGCTCGCGGAGCCCTGTGCGGTGAGAGACTCTCTTGGGCAGGCAGCCTTGTGAAGAGTCTGAGGACTGTCCCCCTGGGAAGGGATTGATGTGGGAGGCTGCTGCCAATGAGTGTCCGGGCTGGACCGGAGCTGACGATTTAGGGCATCCGTGATTTAGTGAGTGGCTGGCATAATTCTTTTACCTGAAAGGGAGCTTGTGGCAGCCATGGTGGAGTGTGGTGGCCCACTTGCCCGTGTAGTGGGACTGTTTAGGCTGCCTAGGATGCTAGAAATGGGACAAGAAGTCACTGCACTCAGATGTAGAGACTGCTCAGCTATCGCAAAGAGCCCTTCCCGAGGGCGGGGATTATGTCCGCATTACAGGGTGACCCTTTCCTGTGTGTTATAGATTCCCTGGATATATGATGAGCTGCCATTTAATAGCAACATGCCTTCTACTCTTTTACTTGGTCATTACTGTAACCCTGTGAAGGAAACTGAGCAGGGCTTATTTTTCTTATCGTATGGAAAATAAATGAAGCTCAAAGAAATGTAGTTCCCAGCCTCTGAGTCCAGCCTGATTAAGTAGACGTCTTCGTTTGCCCTTAACTGCCTTTCCCTGGGCACGAAGACTTGTCATTTCTTCTGGTTTCTGCATACATCCTCTCCTCTGGTGATCTGAGAAGGAAAATTTAGAGTTATATGATTCACTCCTGTGTTTCAAGAAATCTCTTCCCGTATTTCTCAAATTGGAACTCTTCATTCGGCCTGTAGAGATGGGAATTGTTTGCTGGCCCAGAAGGCATTCTCAATGGTGATGCTTCAATTTAAATGCAATTTTGTAACAACCTGCAACATCTACAGCTTATAATCAACACAACTGCTTTTCCAAACAGCTAATATCCTTTGCCACAAAATATTGCAGTTTGAACAGAAGTTTAAGCAGAACTTTGTGTAAGTGTTTCAAAGTGGAGGTTTACTGTGATTTTGCCATTGGTCAAATCAACAAATCACCAATCGTAGGAGTATGGTGGCGAGTCTTTTAGGGGGATCTTAAGGGAAATACCCAGAAATGCCAGAAGGCATCATAGCATATGAATAGTTTGCCGCTCAAAGGGCTGTCTGTGGACCGGCCACCTCAGCATCGCCTGGGAGTTTGTGAGCAATGCAGCGTCTCAGGCTCCATCTCACTGCTGAATGAGAACCTGCATTTTAATGAAATCGCTTAGCAAGTCAAGTTTGAGGAGTCCTGGAAAAGCCTGGACTCTGAAAACTGTCCCTGGTGGTTTGCTTTCTGGTCCTATCACGTACTATGTATGTGACCTTGAGCAAGTTTCTTTGCCTTTCTGAATTTCCTCGTCAGCCTAGTGGCTAATAATACTTGCTGCCTAGAGTTATTTTTCAGGATGTAATGAGTTAAACCAATGAGAGCACTTAAAACAGGTCCTGCCGCAAAGTCAACACTCAATATTAGCCATAACCGGGCTGAGGAAGTATATCCACCAATCACGGCAAACTAATCAAATAAATGAGAGAAACAAAGGCATTTGTGTCCCTAGACCAGGCAGGGTCCACAGGGTTGTGTCTAGGATGAAAACCCCTGGACCCAAGCCAGCCCGTGCTTGGCGCCTGCCTGTGGTGCATCCTCTGAGGATGATACGGCTTTGTGGGACTCTGTTAAAGTCTTGGATGTTGAAAGCATGTGCTTGTTTGGTTTAGGAAGTAGAGTGAGGGTCCTGCTTTAATAATAATAAAAACAATGATACTATGAGTAGCACAAGTAACATTTATTGAGCACCTACTATGTGCTGGGTACTCTGTTGGGGACTTTATTTATAATAGAGAGTGGGTCCTATAACATTTCTTAGGTAGAAGCTCCTAATCCCATATTAGTAGAAAATTCCTCTTTCCTTGCCTTCCCTTTTATCCTACTCTTCTAGAAGTCCCTTTCCAACTTTAAAGGGAGCTTCATAATGGACGGTTACTTTGGATGTAGAAAATCAGTGTAGCCCACTTCCATCCTCCTCTACTCAAGTCTGCCTGCCTATAAACCCTCGCTACTCAAAGCGTGGTCCACGGACCAGCAGAGACTGCATCCCATGGGAGCTTGTTAGAAATGCAGAATATTAGGCCCTTCGCCATTCCTACTGTGTTCGAATCTGCATTTTAACAAGATCCCCACGGGATTTGTATGCACATTAAAATTGAAGAAGAACCCTTTAGCACAATGATTCTCTGCCCTGGCCGCACATTGGAGTTATGTAGGCAGTTCTGAAAATACTAGTATCTGGGCCTCACCTAAAGATTCTGATTTATTTGGTCTGGAGGAGAACCTAGGCATTAACATTTCTCAAAAACTTCCCACATGGTTCCTTTGTTAGGCAAACTTTGAGAAGCAGAGCTGAGAGGGAAACTGTCAAATAAGGAAAACATCCTAGAGGACTGTGGGACTTGGGTTTGCATCAAGACCCACCAGATCGACCCTGGCTGGTCCAGGTTGGTGGGCTGCCGAGACAAATCCTCTCCAAAGCAGGTGGAGCAGAATGGGGGTGGAGGACTCAGGCTCATCTGGGGGCGGGGGGGCGTCAGTGTGCAGCTGTGAATGGGGACAGCTGGGCAGAAGCAGGCAGAATTGATTAGAAGGCCAAGCAGAGCCAGGCATCAGGAAATGTACCACATCTGGGGGTACAGGTGCCCTGAGCCCAGGATCTCAGAGGCTTCCTGTGGGCTTGCTTGGTCTTCATGGTTGAGGAGGCGTGGAGACCCAGCATGTTCGCCTGGCCTGACCTACTCCTAAAGAGCCTGCCTTGGGGCAGCTGGGGGAGAGTGAGGTGGGCTATCTGTCCCTGGCAGTAGCAATGACATCATGTGTCGGGGTTCCAGAATTTTGATATCCAACTTCCTATTATCAAGAGTGGTATCAGCTGGAGGAAATAAATATTTATGCCCCGGCTACACACCACTGTGAGTTGTATAAATGAGCAATCAGTCATCCTGCCTCTTGTCAAAGCTGTACACTCCAATGGCCAACTAAGGGAGCCAGTGGTGGTCTAGTGGTATAAGACTCGATGCTCTTACCGCCATGGCCTGGGTTCATTTCCCGGTCAGTCAAGGAACCATACCCCTCGTCTCTTGGTTGTCATACTGCGGCGGCTGCCTGTTGCTGCGATGCTGAAAGCTGTGCCACTGGGATTTCAAATACCAGTAGGGTCTCCCATGGTGGACAGTTTTCAGTGGAACTTCCAGACTAAGACAGACTAGGAAGAATGACCTGGCTGCCCACTTCTGAAAACAATTGGCCATGAAAGCCCTGTGAATAGCATCAGAGCACTGAGGAAGCGCTGGAAGGTGAGAGGATGGCTCAGAAAGACTGGGGAGGCTTCCGCTCCTGTGGTCACCAGCAGTCGGAATTGACTCCATGACACTAACAATGAAGGGAGCCAAGGGATGTGACTCTAAGCTTCATGGAGACCAAGAATGAAGGCTGCGCAGCTGACAGAGTTGCTGTTTGCCACAAGCCTGCGTGGCCAGTCCCTCTGTGCTCCCCTAACCTCAGCCCGTTTTGCCTTCTGCTTCTCTCACTGGAATCCAGAAACCCTGTCCCTCCTCGTGCCACGCGTATTCTTGCCCTGGGGTATTTCCCCTCTCTATTTTGTGGCAGAAACTTTCCAGCACCAGAAGTTTGTGTTGTGAAATTCGATACTCAGACGGCACCATTTTTCCTAACCTCCTCATCTGCTCTCATCCTGTGCTTTCTTTCCTTCCGAGCACTTACGCCATCTACTATCGTATATTTATTGGTTCCTTGGTTTATCGTCTCTGTCTCTATCAGATTGGAAGCTCCATATAGGCAGGGGTTTGATCTTTTTATTCACTGTGGTATCCCAGAACCAAGAACATTGCCTCAAAGATTGTCATCATTGCTTAGTGGCCATTTGTGCAGGGATGAATGAATGGGGACACCGTCCTTTACGTGTTTGAACATAGGAGCCAAGGTGTGGGTGTTGGTTACGAAGCTGCATGCTGAAGAGCTCCCATCAAGCTTGCGTGCACCTTCTGTGGCCCTCTGCAAAATCAGTGTGGAGTCGGTCCCTTTGACAGCCCAGTGGACTGGTCCTCGGGTGGGGAGCTGAGCTGGAAGGCCCTGGTTTCCAGTGCCCAGGCTTCTCACCAAGCACCACAGGCCCTCTCCTCCTGTCTGGGGCTGACCCAGGACTCCAAGGCTCAGTGCAGCCAGAGGCTGGGAGCCTCACTTCCCTGGCTGGGCTCAGAGATGCAGTAACCCAGGGGGCCCTGCCCATTGTGCTCACTCTGCCAAGAAAGACTCCTGTACAGAGGTCTTAGGAGCCCAGGAAGCTCAGAGTCCCTGTTCCCAGGGATAGGTTTAGAGCTGTAGGTGAAGCCAGACAACCTAGGCTATGTACCTGAACCATGGGAAACTTTGGGCCAACCTCAGCCCCTAGTGGGAAATGGGACTTTTCTTGGCTCAGTCATCCCCAGGGGAATAGTACTGCCTTGTTCTAGAGGAGGCTGAGATGATAGCGTTGTAAGACTTAGGAGCTCTAAAGGAATGGTGAGATCAGCTGACCCACCCTGCACTTGGCCTGTGAGGAAACTGAGGCACACAGAGCTTGCCTGGGTGGGAGGTGGGAGGGCCAGGCCTCAGCATTCCAGGCTCCAGTGTTGGAGTTGAAAATGTGGCCTGTGCAGCTAGACAGACCTGAGTGTGAATCTTGGCTTCCCACTTACAAGCTCTAGGACCCAGGCTCAGTGGCTTCAATTCCATGTCTGTAAAGTGGGAATAAGTAAATGGCCATTGAAAGGCTTGAATGAAGTAATCCTTGTAGTTTAAGTGCTTGCACTGGCTTGCCTCAGGGTTGGTGCTCAGCAGTCAGTTTCATTTGTATCATCATCATGACCATCTCCTGATGCTGCATCTCCTC